CCGCCCCCATGCTTTATGAAAATCGTGCAAAATGGGTCATCATGTGACCTATCATTCAAGGGCCCATGATCCCTTGAATCTGTATCTCCTCTGTGTGTGCATGTATCATTCTTGCATGACAAGTTAGAATAAGAAGGAACCTGTTTTATTAGCTCAGGCATTGCAGGAAAAGCCATTAGTGATACTTTAGGAGCTTAATGGCTCGGTGCGCAAGTCCTGTGAATGGTTTTGTTTTCCCTGGAAGCCCAAACTGTGATTGGACTTACGCAGACATGTGACTAGGCCCTCTGATGCAGGGACCCATTTTGGATCTGCCACTTTTTCCTCTTTTTTCAAGGTGAGATAAATTTGAACTGAGCACAAAGAATTCCTGCCATGGGTAAAGAGGCTGGAAGGGGGAACAAACAAGAGAGAGAGTCTCTAGGCACCAGGAGACCACTGTTTTGCCATCTAAGATGGCTGCTGGAAACATCTAAGACTGAAGAGAAGGGTCGGGCCCAAGCTCGAAGGCTGCCAATCTCGTGAAAGAGATTGGAACAAATGTTCGGGTAAGAATTTGCATGTAACAAGTTTCCTAGTGTACTAGGATTACAAGGCATGTTTTGATTATTTTGGCTCAGTAACTGCTTTATTTTCACTTGCAGTCACTTAAATCCTACCTCTTATACTTAATAACATAAAATGCTTTTGTTTATTATCAAACCCAGTGTAAATCATTATTATGTGGGGGAGGGCAACCACTTCCATTGGTAAAGGGTGAATTTATAAGATGTTATATATAGGGTGTTGCCAACTGCCCTATATAGCTGAGCTCCCCCAGGACTGAGCTGCTTCATGTCTGCTGGGGAGTGGTTACCTCAACTCTGTGCCTTGGCCGGGGGAGACCAGTGCTTTTGGCCTAGGAGCACAGCATGGGGGAGAGCCTCAGAGAGCAGGAAGGCAGGCTCAGTGGCTTGATCAGGACATGGGGTGACAACCCCAAGGAACTCTCTATGGGTACGTCTACACTACAGCGCTAGTTCGAACTAACTTAGTTCGAATTAGTTAATTCGAACTAAGCTCATTCGAACTAACGGATCTAGAACTAAAAACTAGTTCGAACTAGCATTTTGCTAGTTCGAACTAGCAAGTCCACATTGAGTGGACTCTGAACAGGGCTTAAGGATGAATTAGTTAATTCGAACTAAGCTCATTCGAACTAACGGATCTAGAACTAAAAACTAGTTCGAACTAGCGCGTCCACACTGATTGGACGCAGGGGGACATTTAAGGGCAGCTGAAACCGGTTCTGGCAGGGCATCAGGTCAGCAGTTGCTTTGTGTGGCTGCTGTCTGAGGCTATCTGAGGCTCGTGCTTAAAGGGACCCCCCCGGACAGCCGGT